TACGTCTAGAAATTAAATTATTCAACAAATAAGTTCTCATAATATTGCCAACACTGGAGCGCAATCGCCTGTATATGCGTGGTGTGTGTGTGCGTGTATTTGTTTGTATGAGTACGTATGTGTGTGCTAACTATTATTGAAATATCAGTTGCTTGTATTGTTCAGGGGATCTCGTAGTCGAGCAGTCTCGACTAGAGCTTTCTTACTTGTTTTTCTTTGTAAATAAACAGAATCAATTGAATTATTGTTTGATATAATTTTTTATATAGAAATTTTAAAATTAGTTCGAATACTATATTTCTGAAATAAATAGTAAAAATTAAATTGTTATATAAAATCATATCATATACATATTTATAAATAAAGAACATTACATTTTTAGGAAAAACAAAATTTCTCGCTCAGTTTTTTATAAAGTCTCGTACACAACGTAATTCAGACGTAAATTACCCGTAAGTCACATCAGCGCAAGAAATTTAAAAATGAGAAGTTTCAGACGCAAGTGGGAAAAGAGCCCACTGTCTGCTGTATCGCAGAGCGACACTCTACCACAAACGCTATCACAGCATCGCTAGATTTGTGAATTACTATCAAATATATACTCGCACATAAATTTCAACAAGTTATAAGCTAGATGGCGCTTATGCTCATACCAGCAGTCCTGCTAATATAAAATGAACAACAGATGGCGCTATACACCGACTATTGTATGTAATCAACTGTATGACTTTCTTAAATATTACTACGATATATCGTATATTTTATGTTGCTAAATATTTGTAAATATATGGCGTGTGATTACGTAGATATAATTATCCTCGAAATACTCTATAGTAATTTAACCATTTAACAATTACTTAAAATTAACTTACCCCTCCATCGACAAACTGCACATTGCCCAGCAGTAGCACAGCAGCGAGGACACGAACCACATCCAGAAACGGTATGCCCAGTATGCCCAGACAGGTCTTCCAGGCCTGGAAACGTGCCGCATCTTCTTGCTCGTTCTGGGCGACATCGCCACGGAGATATCGCAGATTTGCCGGCGAGTAACCTTCCAGGTGCAGCTTCTGGCGCTCCTCTCTGTTGAGGCCGGCAAGCAGCTGGTAGAAAATGTGATAGTTCTTCTCCTTGGGCAGCGGCCGAATGACTCGAGTCTGGTCCAGAAAGTAGCAGTGGATCTTGGTGCGATAGAGTGCGCCATCCGTCACCTGCACTTCAATGAACTGGCCGATGCGACTGGACTCCGAGTTGGTCGTTGTCTTGGCCGAGCCAAGCGAGCGTAATACTGTAAAGGCGGCGGCCAAATGCTTAAACGCATCCGTCTCCTGACCTCCACCTGCTATGGCAAAGAGCTGGCGCAGCATGAGCATGGCGTTA